TCATTATTTTTTAACATAGCTAATTATCACTGCTGAAAACCACAAATTTTTTAAGATAGTGAACCAGTACGTGACAAAATTTTGCTAAACTGTCAGTGATTTTATAATTCGCTATACTTTTTTAATTCATCCCTATTTCCATAAAAAAGCTGTAAAAATTTAAAAACACCAAGGGTCACACAAATATGCCATAGGTCAAACTACTTTGTTTGGCACTATATATATAAAAACAAAAAAATTACTACAATACATTAGCATATAAAACCAAAGGAGCAAATAAGTGGTTGTGAAAACCTCTTTAACTTGGCGTTTTCCTCCTTTAGGCTTCTTCTTTCCGCTAGTGTTTGTTGGTATCGTTCCTTCTTCAAAGAAAAAAAAGTGCATAAGAATCAGGAAATGAAAAGAAATAAATTGGTCAGAAAGTGAAAAAGATTTCTACTAATACTACCAAGCAGAGAGCAGTAGTAAAATTTTCAAAATGCAAAACTAACTATTTTCTGCAACTGATCCTTAACAGTTTTGGTCTGCAGGGCTTGAAAATTTGACGCAGCATGAATCTTCCTAAACGCATGCTCAAAGAGCGAGAAAGGGGGCTAAATGACAGCTTATTTTAGTTTGACTGCAGAAATTGAACTTGAAAAAAATTCACACGTGTACTCCAAACAAATGTCATAACATTTTTAGATCAAAAAGTATGAAGAACTTTCAAGATACTTTGAAAAAATTTTGCAAGCTTTGCTCCATCGTTCTATTTAAGCAAGAAGATAAAAATGGTGTCCGTCTACAAATTTTGCACTTGTGATCCGCTCCTAAAAATAAAAGTAGCTAAAAATCAATATAACTTTAAGTAAAAAGATGTCAGACTTTATAAACAAAAATCAATTCCATATGCAGCTCCACTAAAACCAGTCCTCGAAAAGCCTTTCAAACGAAAAAACAATAGCCAATTTTGGAAATTCCGTAATGCTTTGAGAATCTCCTGAAACTGTAAAACTGGAACCCTTTAAAAATTGATCAAACTTGATTTTTCGCCACGCAAGACAAAGTGAAGATATAAATTGACCTATTTCCAATAACTCAAATAATTTTTAATATATTAAAAATGGTATATATCTTGAACTGTTAGACAACTTCCACTGTTTTTTTTAGCTCTAATTTTTTTCAAAAGGTATATATATATATATACCTTTCGAGAAAAAATTAGAGCCAAAAAAAACAGTGGAA